TCCGGGCATTATTATGCTGCCATTAGTTTGCCAAAATAACAGTGGATTTTATTAGGTTTTGTGTAAGGCCCGTATAAGTTAATAATTAATGATTTAGATGGCATATATTTCGTTTTATCTATTTAAAACAAACGAATGTACATTATATGTACAATGTTAATAATCGTGTTGTATTATCAGGTATTTTGCTGCTAATTAATTAATGTCGTTTTAAGCAATTCAATGGCATTAATACTGTGATGAGTTTGCGAACAAAACATTGGATTTTATTAGGTTTGTGTAAGTTAATAAATGTTTTAAGATTCATATGTTTCATTTTATCTATTTGAAACAAATAAACAGTGGATTTTATTAGGTAGTTTGTGTAAGTTAATAATAATGTTTTAAGATTCATAATATATTTCGTTTTATCTATTTGAAACAAACAAATTTATATGTTGATAATCAAACCAACGGATTTTATTATTTTCATATTACAGTGTCGATGCATATATTAAAGAAGAGAAAGAAGAAGAATGTCAATAATATTAATATACTGCCAAATTATATTTTTCGTAATATAATATTAAAGCTTACAGTAATTGATGCTTTATGTTTCGTTGTATATTATGTCTAGGCCTATACGTTCTTAAATGATTGATTGATTTCGAAGCAGAAAGTATATAAACGCCACAAAAAGTCACATTATTTATGCCCCGTCCAGCACTCGAAATTTCCGACCGACGCTAAGAGTTTGCCGACCTGCATTGCTTTTTTTCAATGATTCTGTGTATTATTTTAGAAAAAAAAAAAAGTTTATTTTTATTATATTTTTCGTAATATTATTAAATGTTTCGTTGTATAATGTCTAGGCCTATACGTTCTTAAATGATTGAATGATTGATTTGAAGCACGAAAAAACATGAAATACATCGCCCTAAAATCCAGAAATTTAACTGTAAACGCCTTTCATAGAGAAGAAAACAATAGAAATACACGTCTCTGTGGTTACGCTTGTATTAGATAGGGCAAAACATGCCCATTCGTGCAGAACGAGTATGCAGTGTCTGCCGATTGATGAATAACCTAATGCGAATTCACCAACTGATTAAAAGTTCAACCTCGTTTAATGAGCAATAATAAGGTTATAACACAGAGGTTAATGATCAATGTCTTTATTAGGATTATGTAAAATAATTAATAGACAAGCAAACAACACGTAGTATTGGCCATGGCCACAGACCCTACATTATAGGGTTTGTATAGGCGAACAACTCGGGTAACAACCACATTCCTGAACCATTGCACATGTTCGTACAGTTTCCATGTACAGAGATCAAGCCAGTCGGCTATTTTCAGCATTTGACATTCTTTCCTTGTCTCCGATGACATTCCTGAATTGGCGGCGTACAAAGACTTTGTTTCCGATAACATTCTTGAATTGGCGGCGTACAAAACTTTCTTATTCTCCCAAGAGTATCATTGGACCCTACTTGTGAGAACGTTTCTCACTGAATTAATTGTTACTAGGCAACTTAGTACTGGCAAATTGATACCTATTTAAAGCAATGTATTTCCATTCATGCCTAGATTTAATTATTAATTAATTATATAAATACGGTAACCAATCAATCACTTGTACCTGGAACGTATAATCGTCTTACAATAGCCACGCTTGCTTAATCGTACATATATAATTATAATGCAGGATTAATTAATTATATTATATACTTTATTCTAAGATACAAATCAAGTTTCTTTATAAGTTACAGCTATAGTTAAATTAAATTTCTTCTATTAGAGCAATAACAACTTAGAATATTTTGCAGGATAAAATAAACACTTCTTAACTAAAAATTATGCTAAACTACTTCGTAAAACAATCAATCTTAATAATAAAGTATTTCGCCATACGTTCTTTCAAGAACATAATAAAGTCTTGTATTGTGAACTGGCATAGGGCCTATTCTATTTTTTTTAGTAAATGTTTTCTCATACACGATTTCTAACAAAATGTTTTAGTTACACAACTACTGGAGTAGGGATTTACCAACTCTCTCTGGCTAGACAATGAACATGCTTGCTTCATCAGATAAGACAAAAGATATCAATTAACGTCTCCGTGGTAACGTTAACTTTTAACCCTACTACTCTAGA